CAATAACCGACGAGTCAACGACTCGAAGACCCACGACATTTTTCACCCTCAAATCCGGATCCACTACCCCATAGTTTTTGAATTGCGGATGAAGGTGTCCAGTTCGTCGTCGGTGACGGCAGTATCGACGAGGTTGATGACGTAGTCCGCAAAAGCGGGTGCTTGGGCGAATCGGCGGGAAGCGCGGATAGCTTCGCGCATGACAAAGATGTCGAAGGGGGAGTCGAGAAGGTTCGGGTTGACGATTGGGGGGTCGAAGGGGTTGCTGGAGTTTATTACGACACTACCACCTGAATATGGACGAAAGTTTTTCAGATGTTTGGTGCTTACGTTGAGTGTAGAACGTACGTGATAGAGGTGTTACAACCGCTGTGCCGATCACCATGAAGTTCCCTGGAGGAGGTATAGGCAGCCGTGTCGCGCCGTTCTGAGAAGTCATTAGCGAGCGAAAAGCAAAAGAAGAAATACTTACAGCGATGATGAATTCATAATGAGCACCATGTGGGCCCGCCGACGGATCTTTGAACTCATTGAAGATCGTCGAATTATCTGGAAGACGCAACCACCCCGCGACGTTAAACGTGCCGGCAGCATATGGCCCCATGTGTGTCGCGTTCCACTCCCTAGTCTGCTCTTCCATCAAAGTAGCGTTCCGCAAGGCAGTTTCGAAAGTATCCGTGGAGTTGACAAGCCAGGTGTTCGCTACGAACGCATGGTCTGTCAGATTTTGCCCTACTGACGGGAGATGCACGAGAGGTTTGACGCCGACTTTTGAGAGATGGGCCGAGTCCCCAATGCCAGAATTTTGTAGAATATGTGGAGTGCCGAGAGCACCGCCAGACAAGATTACTTCTTTTGTGGCAATAATCCTTTTACGTGGTCCGGCTAGGTCGCCGAAGAGATTAGGTCATGTGCAACGCAGTATGCGGAGGCTCACCTCCACGACTAGTATCGTCTGCAAACTCTACACCTCTAAAGACGGGAATTCCTTTCGCAGTGCCAGTTCGGAATACACGTGTTACCCGAGAACCGGTCAGTACGTGTAGATTCGGTCGTTGTGCGAATTTTGGTGCTAGATAAGATACTGCGGAACTGCTTCGTACTCCGGCATTGATGGTAGATTGTGTCCAACCTGCATTCAATGGTTTGGTTTGACTGCTCAAGTCACATAAAGGACGAACCGATGCCAATTGTATTTCCAGAATTCATATCCAGATTGAAAGAGAACTCTGGAAGCTCCGACGCCGCCTGAATCACTCTGTGATCAAAGGAGTATACGAACCCCGGAAGGCTGACAGCGTTTATACCATGGAAGCTGTGAACAGAGGGGTCAAATTCTCCCGTAGTGTTGTGGTGGTCTGCGGGTGCAGTCCATCTTTCGTTCTTGAGGTCACGTTGTAAGCGAGAAGATGATCACGCTCAGGGAAAACGTACTCTACGGAGATACGGCTGGATGTTCTTCCATGACCATCCACTATCCTTGGTCAGCTTTGCATATCGATCGTAGTCGTCGGAAGAACCACGGGTGTATGCAAGACCATCTAGGAAGTAAAACTATAAATGCATATGACTACAATTGGACGGACAGACACGGCGTACTCATGGAACTGGTGCCACCAAGAATGTGGCCTTGCGGGTAGCTCATGGACCGTCCACCTAACCCCGTCATAGGTGCAGTCGTATAGTTCCAGTCCGCGGGCGTGTTGAAAAGACGGCTATTGAAGAAGGGCACCTCTGAGTTGAAGACACCAACATTACTTCATGAAACATGTATGAGTTGGCAAGGTCAATCACAATGAATTAAGCCTTACGTTCCCCCAGCTTCAATGACTAGCACAGAGTAACGAGGATTTTCAGCCAACCGATTCGCAACAACGAGACCGGCGGTTCCTCCTAGCGTTATGCTAATACGTCAGCGTCCTTCATATACACACACAAAGATAAGCAGACATCACCTCCAACGACTACAAAGTCAAAATTAGTACGAGGCAGGTCTTTAGGCCGCGCTAAGATCGCCGCCAACGAATACTTGGCCAAAACAGCAGCAAGAAATATCTGTTTGAGAGGAGGGGACACCATAGGAGACCAAGTCGTATGTGAGGCCACTGAGGGGCGACCTGCAATTCAAAGCGCAAAAGATACTTCGCCCAGTCCTCCTTAAGTTCCATAACTTCCTTTGCCAAATGCTTCGCGAAGTAGACAATTCTAATCTGTACCCACATGGTGCGAAGAACCATTCCAAGGTTGCGATTGGAGTACCGGAGCTTCTTCGATGTTGCAGTCATCAGGCAGTTGTAGAGGTGGGCTCATTACTTACTGTTTGCATCAAAGTATGAATTCCGGTATGGTGTAACGGCTAACATTGCCGCCTTTCATAGACTTGCATCTTATAAACACCGCGGCAGCTCGGGGTTCGATTCCCCGTACCGGAAACTAATCTTTTGTGCTCTGAAATTTTCCCCTTCCACCACGAGTCTTCCGAAATCAACGTAGGTAATAATCGGATATGGTGTAACGGCCAACATTGCCGCCTCTCATTCCTGTCGGAGAGTGTTGTCGCGGCAGCTCGGGGTTCGATTCCCCGTATCCGAAAGTTTTTCGTGTCAGTCGATCTTGTTGTTTTCACGAGAATAGCCAATTGCCATAATAATGTCTTTGCATTCAAAACCGGACACTATCTAGAATCACAATACATCTAATGGCGAGTAGAAAAGGAAAGATAATAACTCTGGCATGTACATAGAGGGAGCTGGGACACAGTCTATTACGATACGTACGAACCTATCAACGAAGTTCGCATTTCAGGTTAAAATCGAGTAACACGAAACGGAATATTTATTTCAGAATGATGGCGGGATAGAGACTCGGAGAAGCTGAAAGGTTCGGAGTCTACAAAGAAACAAAACACACTCGGCATTAGCTCATACGCACGAGCTGAAGAAATGAAGAAAGGTGCTCACAGGAGGCAAGGCTAGATAATTCCATATCATGGTATGTCATGATGTATTTCGTGTGTTGTGTGGTAAGGATGAGTTAATTATGAATGGTAGGGAGAGTGCGATGCGATTGGACGACGTGCTTGCAGAATAAATAGAGACGAAACCAGAAATGGTTGGGATGAAAGCGGGATGAATGGATCTGGACGAATGGGTGGTATCAAGCAATGAAAGGGTAACGGATTCGTGAATAACAACAGATGATGATGGACAAGATTGCTTGAGTGGGTGAGAAGAAAGAATGACACGAGGCAGCAAATAAATAGGTCGGCCGAGAGTCGTTCAACAACTTCCAACGGTTCACATTGAGTCTTCATCACGCAAGCGCCGTAACACCCTCATCCCAATCCTCCTTCCTAACGCTCCCAACACCTCGACAAACCGAACAGCTAACCTCCACAAAATCTCCCTGCCCAACACTCACATCCTCTCCAAGAGCATTCGCGACCCTCGCCGCACTGACCAAACACGCAGGGTGAAACGTATGCTCGCACACCACCATCTCCCTCTTTTCATGCCCTTCTGGCGTGACAGTGCAGATACTCAACTGCCTCCTCGCCCCTTCTGTCGACCCAGCCCCAACAAACGGCTCCTCGTCGCTCGGTCCGACTCCACAACTGATATCATAACACCTCAAACCCGCCTCGCGCTCCCTCTTTTCGATGCGCTGGCGTAACGTCGGACCCGGAGGCGCAGGAAGCGTCCATGACTTTTTCTCCCTTGGTGCGCGCCCGCGGCGGGCACGCGCGGGACCTGTCGGGGGAACTTGGTCATCTGTCCCAGCCTGCGCTTGTTGGGGTTGTTCTTCAGATTGCGCTTGCGCGACACCCGCGGCGGCCGGGGTAGGACCAACATTGAAGGGATTGAAAAGCTGAGGTTGGAAGAAACGTGCCCAGGGCGGCAGAGGCAAAGGCCGTTCGTCACCCTGTTGTTGAGGCTGCTGGGGCTGGGCCTGCTGCTGATGCACATTTGGAGCGTTGGTACCGTTAGCGGCGTTGATACCCCGACCAAAAACATCAGGCAAAAGGCGCATGAACCCGCTCAAAGGAGACCCGCCGTCAGCCTGCGCTGGCTGGTGGTGTCCTGCGGATTGCTCTTCCTCCTCCTGCTCACGTGGCGCAGCTTGTGCGGGGGGCTGAGCAGGCTGCGCCGCACCAAAAGCAGGAGGCGGTGTAAGCGTCGCACCAGGGAACAATGACGAAAACGGGATGAATGGGATGTTCATCGCCGGCCCAGGGGCATGAACGTTGGAGTTGGCGTTAACATCGGCCGCGCTAGGGTTAGCATTCGCCTCGGTTGAATTAGCATTAGCATTGCCTCCCGCATGAGATCCATTCGCCTCATCGTTGGCGTCGGTACGAGTGTTGTTGTTGACGTTGGATTGGTTGACCCCGCCGCCACCAACATTATCAGACCCGAGCGCGTCCAAACCCGCAAACAAATTGCCCAGATTGAACACCGGCGTCGCACCGATCGTTCCAGCGGGCGCCACGAAAGGCAATGGCGCCAGCACGAACCCTGGAATCCCGCCTGCGCCTGTAGGAAGCGCAGTCCCGTTTCTGTTCTGATTCTGCGGCTGAGTCGGATCCTGTGGCGCCGGCTGTTGCTCGTGTTCGTTTTCGTGCTCTTCTTCAGGCTCCAGACCCTCTCCCGCATGAGCCTGATTCTGAGGTTGCGCCTGCGCACCCTGCCCTGCTCCCGCTCCCGCACCTCTCGTCTGTCTCTGCCCCTGTCCCTGCGCCTGCGCCATAGACGCAAACACCGCATTCAAAAATTCCCGCAACGCTGGTGCATTCGGCATCTGCGCTGGTCCCTGTCCCTGTCCCTGCGCCGCCTGTTGCCCCTGCTGCTGTCCTTCTCCTACATCCTGCCCTTGTCTTTCCGCCTGGCCCTGCTGTCCCACACCTTCCCCTTGCGCTTGCTCCTGAGGCTGAGCCCCAGGCGCTCCCGGCTCCGCCTGTCCCCGCTGGAGAGGCTGTAACGGCTGACTAAACAAAGCAGCCAACGCCTCGCCCATCGACCGACCCGTGCCCATACCCGTGAACACGCCCGTAATAGGTCCCGTTGCCGGTCTTGGTCGCTGCTGTTCGCCCTGTTGCGATTGGGCTGCACCTCCGTCTGCTGCACCTGTATCCGGAGCCGCGGGAGCGGGGGGACGATGAGTGGCAGGGGTAGGGGGAGGATCAGGATGAGGCAATGTCATCCTCAGAATATCACCCAACTCCCTAGCTTGCGCATCGCTAAGATCCATCATCGTCACTTCTTCAATCTCGTCCTCGTTCATGTCTCCCATTCCCATGGTCATGGCGTCCAAGCCCATGCCCAAACCCATGAAGTTAGGACGCGCCTGCTGGTTCCGGTCCCGGTTCTGGTTCTGACCGTGATTGTGATTGTTATTTCGGGCTGCGTTTTCCGCATCCGCACCCGCATCCGGATTCATGTTTGCATTGTGAACGGGAGTCTGGGCTGGATTCGAATCCGGGTTGGCGTTGGCAGGGTTGGCGTTGCGCCCACCAAGGTTAGGATTCGGGCCGATGATAATATCAAAGCCAATCGTGAGGACCGCGCCAGGTAAGGCGCCGTGTAGATGGCCAGTATTTCGTTGGCGTTGGGGAGGTGGTTGACCAGCGTTGGCGGAATCGGCGGGTTGAGCTTGAGCTTGAGCTTGGGGTTCGGGGCTGGTACGTACATCCGCGTTGTCCGTGTGGGGATCAGTAGGGGGTGGACCTAATTTTTCACGGTAAATGGCCTCTTGAGAAAAATAGGTAGAAAAATGCAGACCTTCACCCTGCTGCTGTTGCTGCTGTCCCTGCCTTCCGTCTCGTCTGCTTCTAACATCAAACGAGGAATAAAACGGCTGACGTCTCGCCGTCAATCTCTCTGGATCAATATTGAACCTGCACGTCGGACACGTCGTCTGTCTCGGACGGGAGAACCACGGAATCAGACATGCGGCATGGAAGACGTGTGCACAGGGCAAAGAGACAATCTTGGGTTGCGTGGGGTCGGTTGAAGAAACGAGTTTCTTTAATTTCGGTGCCGATGCCGGTGCCGGTGCCGTGTCCTGCAAAGGAGACGTTGGTGTTGACGGAGACGATAGCGCTGAAGCGTCTCCTCCCTCCGCAGGCCGAGGCTCTTCTTCCTGAGTCTTATCATCGCCATCAACCCAGAACCCACCCTCGCCATCCAACAGTGTGTCCCAACAGATTGCACAAGAGCAGTCCCCCGCAACTGTGCCCTCCCCTTCCCCGTTTTCAGTCGGTGTCTTCCCATTAAGCGCCTCAAGTCGCCTTACAAGCCCCACGGGCACCTCCTCAAGCGCATCAACGAGTTGCTTCGCACGCTCAGGATCGTCCGTTTCGCGCTCTGAGAGCGCACTGAGGAACCCGAGAAAGTCAGCGAACCCCGCACCTGGATTCGCGGAGTCGAAGGCTGGGAGAGGGCGCACGATGCGCTGGCCATTGATGTCTATTGTGACGGCAAAGCCATTGATGATGGGCGGGCGCTGCCTCGGCGGCCGTGGCTGTTGATTCGGCTGATTCTGATTAGGTTGGTTTTGGTTGTCCTGGCCTGCAGAAGCTTCATTAGACATTCCTGAGGCCACAGGAGTGTTGATTGGACCATTAGAAGACAGCGAGTCCCGAGCTACCGCCGGGTTTGTTACGTCAAGAGGGTTGTTGATGCGCTGAGAAGGGTGTCTGCGGTCCCGCTCGTCGTCGTTGTCGTCGTCGACCCGCGGCCGGCGATTGCTCGATGTATGTGTGTGCGACATGGGCTCGAGAGGGGGCATGTTCTCATTATTGCGCTCATCGACGGTCTGCATCACCACTTCCTCCTCCTCCTCCTCGTCTTGGCTCGGGTCGGGGTAGAGCTCTTCGTCGGAGTCTGACAGAGGTTGGAGCTCGGGTACGTCGTGGTCGTTGTTGTCGGTGTCCATGGGCTCATCGCGGGAAACAGCGTCTGGTGGCATTGCGGCGAGTGTGCGGAGGACGTGGTTGATGAAAGCGTCCATTTGGTCAAAAGCAAGGAGCGCTGTGACCCCGAATGCGATTGCGGCCGCTGTTGCCGCCTGTTTGGCAAATGCCAGACTGATCTAGAATACAGAATATGTCTTTCGCATGATATAGCTATGCAACCAGGTCTTCGCACTCCACAGTTCCCCAGTCTTGGGAGTCATGCTTGGCAATCACATAATTCAATATTGCTAACAGGTATACATGCTCGTTTTCAAAGAGTCACTCACACAACTAAACGTTTTATCTAAGCGGATATCAACACAGACACCTCAGGAACATGGACTGTTTCATCTTGATTGACGCTTGATTCTATCCATCACAATTATATGCTATGCAGCAAGTTTCTAGGCTGTCCTGCGACAATCTACAGTGACTTTGGCTTACCGCCAGTTTCATCTCATACACTAGAACTCTCCCTTTGCCACTGATTGACAAAGGTTCAGTGACCATCAAAGAGAAGATCTGACCTGAGTTCTTGATTCAAGCTACTTATGTCTTCAGCTGGCCTTGAAAATGCCTCCAAGTAAAGTCTAACCCAACTACACCACGCACCATCCATGATGTTTACGTAGCCGTACGA